CCTGTTCTGAAGAACTCTTACAGCAAACATAGTTCTGATACCAAAACATCCAGAATTCCCTCTAGCAAGGCCAACAGGAGATACAGGCCCCAAATTCCTAATAGGGCAGACTAAAAAGGGATGTTCTGGCAATGAAAAGGCTTACAATGTAGTGGCTATTTACTGTTTGCAAGGAGAAAGTCATGCATGTATCTATAAACAGAGCAGGAAAGAATTATTGTGTATAATGCTATTAATGTCTGTGAAAAATGCTACTTATGGTCTAAATCCAGAGAAAAAGAAATATTTTTCTGCATTGCAATGTTAAGGCAATTATCATTTGATGAAGATCATATTAGTGACTTCATCCCCACACATGCACAAAATATGATGATATTAATCACTAAGGTGAAGGGGCTGAAAATTGCAAACATTTTATCCTAGCTATTTTTAAATACTGAAATCATTTATTATATAGTGAGGCATTTCTTAATTTCATCAATACATTGAAAAACTGTCATCCCATTTTCTTTACTATTCAATCAACCACATATAAAATATTTGAGCTGGTCTCAAATATATATATTACATTCATCAGAAGAAAGTAGAGAAGCTGCTATCTAAGAATAATATCCTGCACCAACCTCTCCCCATCAAAATTTAGAGTCAAATCATCAATGTTCAGAGACCCAATTTGTGTATGTGTGAGAGGGAGGAGGAGATGAGGTTAATAATGAGATGTTTACTAAGAATTATTATTTTTTATTTCAGATCTTTCCAAAAAGAATTGGAGATAATGAAGGAGCAGCAAAAGCAAATGTGTTCGTTTCTTTTAGTCTCGTAAAACACTGAGTATTGAACCCAGGATTCTATAAGTTGCAAAAAATTGCAAAAAAATAATAATGATCATGTGGATTGGTGATATCTTAATAAAAGGTAAAATGGACTGCTTTGGATTAATTAAAAATTCATGTTCTTTTATTGGTAATTCTCAGCTCCTATAATTTCTGCCTTAATGTTATTAATACTTATTAAAATACCAAGCATATATGATTACATTTTGTTCCAATTAAGTACTATATTAGAATGATATCCTTTCTTCTTTCTTTCTTTCTTTCTTTCTTTCTTTCTTTCTTTCTTTCTTTCTTTCCTTCTTTCTTTCT